CAGACCAAATGGAGGTTCTCTGGTGTTCTGAAAATTGGCCATTAGTTATAACACCTACCCCAGTGCTTTTCTTTAAGTTGGCTGTGACATAAAGAATATATATTCCGGGCTGGCATTGTGGCACGGTGACTTAAGCCACAGCCTGCAAACGATGGCATCTCATAAGAGCGCTAGTTCAGGTCCTGGGTGCTCCACTTCCAATCCAGCTCCTTGCTAATGTGCATGAAAACAGCAGAAGATGGTCCAAGTGCTTGGGCCCCTGCCACCCACGTGGGAGAGCTGAATGGAGTTCCAGGCTCCTGGCTTCAGCCTGGCCCAGACTTGGTTGGTCCAGCTATCTGGGGAATGAATCAGGAGGTAGAAGATATCAGTCTGTCTCCCTCCCCTGCCCTCTCTCTGCCTTTCAAATAAATAAATCTTTTTTTTTAAATGCATATTCAGTCCTGGCCTCTGGCTTCTGACACAGAACTAAAATCCTTATAATTTCCCGAGTGATGGAAGTAATAGGTCTTAATACCAACTGCCTGAATCCTTTGGAATTTCGTGTATAAGAGAATCTTTTGGTCTAATGATGTGACTTAATGGGCTTCTGAAAAGCTTCAGGAAAGGAGATGTTCGCCAGAATGATCAAGGCTTGATTAGAAGCTCATAAGTTTCAACCCCAGCCTCCTTTGCCTTGGGAGAGGAGAGGGCTGGAGAGTGAGTTAATAATCAGTCATGCCTGCGTGATGAAGCTCCCATTAAATTCCTCCAACTGTGAGGTTTTATGAGCTTCCAGGTTGGTGAACTCATCCGCATGCCAGGGAAATGATGCACCCCAACTCCACAGGGACACACGCTCCTGTGGACCCCACCCTATATACCTCTTCAGCTGACTGTTCATCTGCATCTTTCCCATAGCCTTTGTAATAAGTCAGTAAGAGAGTATCTTCCTGAGTTCTGTGAACCATTGTAAGCAAACCATTCAACCCGAGGAAGGGATTATGGAAACCACCAATTGGTAGCCAAGTTGCACAGAAGTGTGGCTGACCTTGAGCACCCTCTACTTGGAACTGGCTTCAGAAGGAGGGGGCAGCCTTGTTGGACCTAGCCCTTTGTCTGTGGGATCTGTGTTAACTCTGAGTAGTGTACCAATTGAATTAAATTGTAGAATGCCCACTTGGTGTTCCCAGAAAATTGGAGAACTGTTTGGTAGGAAAACCCTCTAATTTGGTGTCAGAACTTTTGTAAATAGAAGAACCAGTTTTCATTATTAGCATATCCTTTTCTGGTTCCCTGCAACTGTCATTATCATCCTCAATTCTTTTTTTTTTTTAAGATTATTTATGTATTTATTTGAAAGGCAGAATTAAGAGAGAGAGAGAGGGAGGGAGAGAGGGATCTTCCATCCACTGGTTCACTTCCCAAATACCAAATAGCCATAACATCCAGGGCTGGGCCAGGCCTCAACCTGGAGCCAGGAGATTCTTCTGAATCTACCACGTGGGTGCAGGGGCCCAAGCACTTGGGCATTTTCCATTACTTTCCCAGGCACATTAACAGGAAGCTGGATCAGAAGTGGAGCATCTGGGACGCCAACTGAGGCCCATCTGGGATGCTGGTGCTACAGGCCCTGCCTTAACCTGCTATGCCACAGTGCCAGGCCCAATCCCTTGAGTCTTGCCAGGCCCAATCCCTTGAGTCTTTGTTTTATCTTTAGCTTCAAAGACAACTGAAATTATCAAGTCTTTATTTGTTGGTTTGAAACTTTTATGAAGCCCTCTAACCTATTTTCTAGCATGTAGACATTGTAAGACAACATTTTTGAAAGATTTATTTATTTATTTGAAAGGCGAAGTTACAGAGAGGCAGAGGCAGAGAGAGCTTCCATCTGCTGGTTCACTCCCCAAATGGCTGCAATGGTGCCCATATGGGATGCCGGCACTGCAGATGGCGGCTTTACCCGCTACACCACAGCACTGGCCCCATAAGACAACTTTTTATACTGAACCTTGGGTTTGCTTCATTGAAATTTGTAGTTTGATACAGTTCGAAGAAGCAGTACATTGGGAATCAGGATTATATCTAGTCTCAACTTTGTGGGATTTTAGGCAAATTATTTTATTGCTCTTTATTCAGAGATTTTACTGTCAACTTTTGAAAAGTACATCTGCTGCTTTCTGCCTCCCACTGAGAATGTACATCATCTCCCAACTCCAGCCCTCTGATTGTCAGGAGTGCACCATCATATGTGTGTTAGAACCCTCTGGGCTGCTGGGATTTCAAAAAATGTTGAGTCCTACTGATTTCAAAGCTCTTTTTTCCCTCTCACATTCTTATTGGAAGTTTATCAAATCTGAGTTACCCATAGGCCAGTGTAAAATTTGCAAATATTAACTTCTCAACAGAAGTACTGGAGAGGGGAGGTATAACAGTACATGGTTTATTAGATAATGGTCAAGATGTACTGTTTGATCCCATGTCATTGTAGATCATTATGATTTTCTCTAGTGCAGTACAAATTCCAGCCTTCACCTCCTACAGTCCACACATTATTGTTAATGACATACAAGAACTTGTTATAGTTAGCAAAACTGTATTCTCCATAAGGACAATGGCTAGCTCTGGTACTGCTCACCATTGTCCCACTAGCAACAGTATCTGGTTGCTAATAGCCATTCAATAAATGTGCAGTGAGAGATTGAATTAACCAACAACTTTGGAGAGAATAAAGACCTGTAGCCAAAAAACTGTTCTGTTGACTTTAGCATACCCTAGGTGTGCCATGCAGAAACAAAGGGATGAAAGAAGTTCCTCTTTGGTGAGAATGAATGATTAAGAAGTTTGAAGCTGACTCAAGACTTTATTGGCACAACCCACTTAAATTTTAACTACTTGTGGCAAGATCAGTACTCTCTTGGAAGTGAGAATTCTGCTCAAGCAGTTATCTGACTGAATGAGCTCACTGAATAATGAAAGATCATGTTCACTGGACAAGAACAAGTTACAGAACAGCTACTTTTAGAAAGGGTGGCAAGGGGGGCCAGTGCTGTGGCGTAGCGGGTAAAGCTGCCGCCTGCAGTGCCAGCATCCTATGTGGGCGCTGGTTCGAGTTCTGGCTGCTCTGCTGCTGATCCAGCTCTCTGCTGTGGCCTGGGAAAGCAGTGGAAAATGGCCAAAATCCCTGGGCCCCTGCACCCACATGAGAGACCTGGAAGAAGCTCCTGGCTTTGGATTGGCCCAGCTCCAGCCGTTGCTGCCATTTGGGGAGTGAACCAGCAGGTGGAAGACCTCTCTCTTTGTCTCTGCCTCTGCCACTGAAAGCAAAGATCTGAAGGTCCAGCTTCACAATGACCTCAGTTTCCAACCTTGCCCCCAGCTAGGGTTTCTGCCAGGGCAACGTGAACTCTCCATTGTTACATCCAGATTTGTCCAGTCGTTCCGGCCAAATTCATTATGTTGATTTCAACTCAGCTTCCAAGCTATCAAAAATACAGCATAGTAACCATCTCCTCCCCCAGGAGCAGGTCATCTACAAATTTATGAAGTATGCTTCTGTGATTGTACCTAAGTCACTGGTTTTGGATCTGGGATTCAGGGAGTGTGGAATTAATTCATCTGGAGCTGCATGTGATATTTGGTGTGTTATGGTATTTTTCAGTGGAAAGGAGTCCAGAGTTTCAGCCAATTCTCAAGGTGATCTGTGACCTCAAAAAACATTAAAACAACGAATATAACTATTCATCACTATTTTGAACAGAAGGGCTAATCGGGACAGAGCTCTGTAAGACTGCCAACAATGCCTTTGTTCCTAGTTGCACCGATCCATCTGAATTCGGGCAGCATAGCGGACTATTACATAGCAGTTTTTTTTTTCTTGTGACTTGCCTCTACATCAAATGGAAGGGAAAATGAATTCCAGTTACGTGGGCATTCAGGTAATTAACATTTTATATTGTTGGTGAATAGTTTTTACTCTCTAAACATTATTCTTAAGACCTTCATCATTTTGTTTCCTGTACCCATCAGACACCATGTATCATAGTGTTGTATTAGTCTGTGAATAGAATTATAGGTGCTTCAAAAATTCAAGAGATTGGCTGAATATTGACACATCAAAGAAAATATATAAGGGGCCAATGTTGTGGTGCAGTGCATTAAGCCACTGCCTGCAATGCCAGTATCCCATATGAGTATGAATTTTAATCCCTGCTGCTCCAATTCTGATGCATCTTCCCGCTAATGTGCCTGGGAAAGCAGCCAAAGATGGCTCAAGCACTTGGGCCCCTGCCACCCATGTGTGAGACCTGGGTAGAGTTCCTGGCTCCTGGTTTTGGCCTGGCCCAATGCAGCCATTTGGGGAGCAAACTAGCAAATGGGAGATTCATCTCTCTCTCTCTCTCTCTCTCTCTTTCTCTATCTTCCTCCTTCCCTCCCTCCCCACTCTCTGGAACTCTGCTTTTCAAATAGATAAAATTTTATAAAAAGAAAATACATAAGTCAAAATTTGCTATCTCTTCTCTCCATAGCTCTGGACAATATAATGTTAATTTCCATTTCAACCCACTTTAAAACCTATAGATACTATACCTCAATCATTATATGGCTATAATGTATATAGAAGGGGATTTGCAGTTTAAAATCCTACATGAAAATCTGGATGTGGTAAGAGAGATTCATTACTTCCTTTGGAAAGGATTCACCTTGAAGGAAGGCAGACACAAAAAAGAACAAACTGTATGATCCCATTTCGGCAACACTAATCTCTAGTGATGAAAGACAGATCAGTGGTTGCTTAGATCCAGGGTGATGGTGGAATTGCACGAAGAGGCATGAGGGAATGTTTTCCCTGATGGAAGTGTTCTCTATCTTGATGGGGATGGTGGTTTCACAAGTGTGTCCATGTGTCAAAATTTGTCAAATTGAACACATGAAATGAGTACTATTTCCTATACATAAATGATATGGCAATAAAATTTTTATGAAAACATTTACCCTAGGAGTCATTTAAAATGAAATTTTATTGAGTATTATTTATTGAGCCTTAAAAGATTGATTACACAAATGAAAAAAGTAAGTCTACCTGTAAATTTCTTCAAGGTGGGATGAGGATGAAATATGATCATGAAAAGACTTTTAAACAGGTAAAGAGGTGATATCAATGCATTTTAGTTAATATTTAGTGTTCCTACAAAAATGGTATGTCTTCATTAATGTGAAGGGTACCAACAGTGACACAGATCATTTAAATAGTCGAGATAATCCAAAATAGATCTTAAATGTTCATTTAAAACACTTTCTTAGTCTGCTCCTTCAGAGTAGCTAAGATCAGACACAACTGATAACATAATAGCTTATTCAAAGCCAAATTCTACATCACCTATGATATCAACACTTTGTATTCACTGTGGGAAAGCGATTTAAAATCATTTACCTCTACCTTATCCGGCCTTTAAAAGTTGGGTGATCTTTTGAAACTTGTTATGCTTAGATATTGAAGATGAATGAGGGTGATTCCTTGGAAAACCTAACATGACACATGAGGTGTCAATTATAAGACCTTGTTTTAAATGCTGTGTAACAATTACCAGGTACCCTTTACTAACTCTCCTCTGTTGTTTTTGGAGAACTTTTTTTCCAATCAATGAGATAATGCTGTTGAGTTCTCTTAGTGCTAAGTGCAAAAATGAATAGGGAAGCCTGACAACTCACCTAGAAGTGATATTGAATTTCATTAATGCCACCTTGTCATGTACATATGTGGAACGTAACCAAGTCGAGCTAAAAATAGAGAAAAAAGATTTTATGAAATATAACACAGATGCTGATGCAAAATTCTTTCAACTGAGTTAGAAATCACTTGCCTTGTCATGTGTAATGCATGCATGTTAGTTACAGTTGTAAGTACTCTATACTAGTCATACAGGAACCCTTGCATTTATTTAGTTGCTATCTTGACCCATTTGTTTTGGAATCATGGTAAGGATGAGCACCTTGTTAGAAGAGGCTTGGTCAGAACTGAGAGAGGACATGGGGATTGGTTAGGGGAACTGAATTCCAAACACCAGTAATGGGTTCCGCAGTGATCATGAATGATGTACTTGGGGCCCAAGCCTATGGCTTGACCACTCGCTTTTTCTCATCACGCTGGGATTCGGCTGCAATCCCAGGCTCTGGCTCCAGCACTGGTTCTGGCTCTAGCTCGATCTCAAGCTCAGGCTGCAGAACAGGCCCCTGTCTTTGGACACCTTCTGGCCCCGAGGCCAGCTCATGGTCTGGTTCCATGATGGTGGCAGGGTCGGTCTCATGAGTGGAAGGTGGCAGAGCTGCTTCTAGCTGAACAACGTCTTCAGTCGGCATGGCTTCAGTCCCTGCACGTTGGGTTTTTTGGGTCATTGGTCTGGAAGAAAGAAATCCCAGAAAAGCCAAGTTAGCAACATCCTAAGTCTAAAATTTCACTCTGTAGCTCCAATGACAAACGTCCCAAAGCTACTCAAGTCATCTGTTATGTATGATCTTCTGACTCACTTTCAGACTGTTTGTGTCCCTAGTGGGATTGAGAAAGCTTAGGTCTTGACAATGAAATGAAAGTTCAAGACATACAGACTAGTGTTTAACAGGTGGAAAACTAATGTCAGGATGAAAGAGTCTAAAAATCTAAGGAGCTTTTTGAGGATCAAATGCACAGTTCTGATGCATCTGTATCCCCCACTCCATCTAGCACAGTAGTTGGCACCTGCTCAGTACCCAATACATACATGGGGGAGCAAGGTGATGGAAGGGTGGCAAATGAACAAACGTGGTCTCCACTAGAGAAGAAATAGAAGAGTTGTTAATAGCGTGGGCTGTGGGGAGGCTTCACTCTGATCCCCATGGGCTCTAGGTACTTGTCCTTTCATGGCCCTCTTGTTCCATAAAAAGTATTTAAAATTATTAACGACTTTGCAAAAAATTAAAAGAAACAATAAAAAAGGAAGGAGGAGCGTGGGCAGGAGGGAGGGTAGGGTGGGAAGTATCACTAGGCTTCTAAATCTGTATATATGAAATTTGTTTTCCTTGTATAAATTTTTAAAAATATTATAATGGTTGGCATAAAGACAAGTATGTTAATATACTAACACATTTTCCTGAACCTAAAACAGTTGTGGTGGTTCAATGAGTCTGTTATACATCAAGTGGGTAGAACAGAGTTTGGCACAAAGGACTCAGTAAATGGTGGCCTTCATGATTCTTTTTGTAAAAGCAATGAGAGTGAGGAAAAAGCTGCTTCTGATATTTCTTGCTGCAAGGAGCGCTGTGTAAAAGAGACAGGCCAGAGAAATATTTGCACTTGGGTGAAGACAACAAAATAAGGGCTTACTCAAGTTCTGTGGTGGCTTTAGTATTCCTCTTCCTGTCCTTGGCCTTTGATTTGTTTCTGGCGAAGCATACCACAGAGGCGATGATGGCAGCACCTACGAGGGTGCCTATTAAGGCACCGATGATGATCCCAACTTCCGGATCTGGAAGACACGAGCCAATAGTCAAGCGGAATATTCTGTCATCTCACACATGTGTGTTTGTGACTAGCGGGGGAGGTTTGGGACATGCACATAGCAGGAAAGGGACTTGCATACGTGAGAGGATTGCAAACTAGAACTCTGCCAGCTGGGCTCATTGTGGAAGACAACTGACTTGATTGTGCAGCTTAACCCCTGGCATTTACACTCACCATGAAAAAATATATATATGCCCGCCTGGGGGAGGCAGGGTTGCTTCCAAAATGGGGTTTAGGGAAGTCTTCAGTGTACATTCGCTTGAACAGAGAGTGACACCATGGAGTGACAGTGAGTCCCTAGAGATATGCCTCTGCAATAGGTCCCTCTCAAGACCATGCTCATCAAGGAGCCTCACACCTTCTCCTCAGCGGGGAGGAAATGCCCATTTCCGTAGTAGACAAGCAGCTGGTGAGAAAACCCATCCAGCTGAGCGCAACGCCTCCAAGGTGGTGTCCCTGAGAGACCATGTCTGGGGAGGAAGCCAGCCCCCTCCCAGGCTGCCTCCCCTCCTACAAGGACAGACAGCTGATGTCTTGAGAGGAGAGGCTGGGTGAGTCGCCATTTCTTTTAACTGTTCATGAAGAATTTTTTTTATGATTTATTCATTCATTTGTAAGTCAGAGTTACACAGAGAAAGAAAGAGAGGCAGAGAGAGAGAGAGAGAGAGAGAGAGGTCTTCCATCCGCTGGTTCACTCCCCAATTGGCCACAACGGCTGGAGCTGCATCGGTCAGAAGCCAGGAGCTTCTTCCGGGTCTCCCAAGAGGGTGCAGGGGCCCAAGGACTTGGACCACCTTCTACTCCCCCCACCTCCAGGCCATAGCAGAGAGCTGAATCGGAAGTGGAGCAGCCAGGACTCGAACCAGCACCCATATGGGATGCTGGCATTACAGGCGGCGGCTTTTTATCTGCTATGCCACAGCACTGGCTTGTTCATAAAGAATTTAAGAAGTCAAATACTGCTACTGAGCTTCTAAGAACAACAGCAGCCCTCTGCCCCATTGCTCCCTGTCTCTGAGTCTCGTTCACTGGGGAAAACTACTCCTAACCTTAGTTTGAATCTTCGGGCCCTCATCTTTCTGTTGATGCGTGTTCTGATGCGTCCTTCCGTTTCATCACTTCCTCCCGACTTCCTACTCTGGAAGTTGGAGATGAACTCTGTGACACCACTCTCCTCATACCCCATCATATTCTCCTCTAGAGTTAGTTATATCTTAACTTGTCCTTAGAGTTTCCAGGATTCTGACTAGGTAAAAATGTGTTCAAAGCTGATTCTTCCTTGTACAACATTTTTTTTGAAAATTTCCCTGAGGTTAATAATCCTCATTAATCCCATATCCTCATTTGGGGATTTGTTGAGATACTTTTTAAAAAAATTTTTTTTAAAGATTTATTGATTTATTTGAAAGTCAGAATTACACACAGAGAGAGGAGAGGCAGAGAGAGAGAGGTCTTCCACCCTCTGGTTCACTCCCCAATTGGCCGCAACAGCCAGAGCTGTGCTGATCCAAAGCCTGGAGCCAGGAGCTTCTTCTGGGTCTCCCATATGTGTGCAGGGGCCTAAGAAATTGGGCCATCATCTACTGCTATCCCAGGCCACAGCAGAGAGCTAGATCGAAGTAAAGCAGCCAGGACTCAAACCGGCGCCCATATGGGATGCCGGCACTGCAGGCAGCGGCTTTACCCGCTATGCTACAGTTCCAGCCCCTCTTTTTTTTTTAATGCATCATCACTCATCCCAAAATTTCCAACAAAACAATTCATTTCCATAGATTTGAACACATCAGATTCTCCATTTCTTCTGTTTTCCCCTCAAACACATCCTTCCTGGAATCCTCACTCCCTCTTCCCCCACATGGCCTGGTTGCCCTCCTGCGTCTGCTCTCTCCTGTCATCATTTGGCGTCCATATTTTCTAGACCAACAGGCTTTGCCAGTTCCTTCAAGATCCAGTCCAAGAGGCGCCATGTTGGTGAGGCCGGCCCCAGTTCTTTATGCATCATTGTTAGTTCATTGGTGGTCTATAGACCCTGCACAGGCCTCTCCCGGAGCATTTAGCATGTTTCCCTCGTTTATTTATTCTTCTAGTTGAACTGTGAACTCCTTGAATGTAGAACAAAGATCTTCCTTAATTTCTGTATCTGCATCACCTAGGATGGTCTTGGCACATAGTAGAACCCCAATAAATTCTTGAGGAAGAAAGAAAGGGAGGCAGGCAAATGCTGAGTAGCACTGGAAGGATTAGGAAGGGGGTGGGGCCCAAGCCCCAATCTGATGGGTGTCTGTAGGTGCGGTGTGAGTATGCATCTGGGAAGGCAAAAAGAGATTGGAGGAGACCTGAAGAAAGACAGCAGGAGTGACTAAAGGAAGATGGCTGCAAGTGAGAGGAGAATGAAGGAACAAGCTTCAGGGTACACGAAAGGACGGAAGCCTAGCTTCACCCGGAGAGCTATGTCATCCCAGGGAACCTGCTACCCTTGGAAAGGGCTTATATTGAAACCCAAATCCCAAGTAAGTTAGAAGACAATGCAGAGACAAGATCCCAGATGTTGATGAAATGATTCTCGAGAGGTGAGGTGAGACAGCCTTTGTGAGGGTTTCTCCTGGATGGCCCGGCTAGAACAATTCCAGAAGCCTTAAGGCTTATGCTTAGGGAGTAAGTAAGCACCTTTGAATGGGAAGATTGAGGTTCAGAGGCATCCCAGCTCTGCCAGCTACTACCTGGGCGATCCTGGGCAAGTCTTTGACCTTCCTGAGCTTGTGTGTCCTCCTGAGGAACGAAAGGCTACCGACTGGATTCTGTCCCCTAGATAGCGTGTTTGGAAAGATTGAGACAATGCTAACCCAGCATGCAGCCGACTGTCTGGCATCCATTTTGTGCTGCACAAATACTAGCTTTGGAGGTGTGTGTGATCACTACTATTCTTACAAGAGGCACCTCTTAAAGCAGTCAGGGACTGGACAAGTTTGCAAGCCATGTACGCATCACATAAATAGCTACAGTGTCTTCTGGACCTACCACCAGCATCACAGAGAGAAATTCAGTCCAATATGATCAATAAGCTTGCTGTTTTACATATCAAATAGCAAGGCCGACTTCCTAGAGGTTTTGTGACGCTTAAACAAATTGCTTTTTGTAAAGGATCTAGGGCAGTGTGTGGGATACATTCAGTATTGTCTAAGCACTAGACAGCGGGATGGTCGTTCATCATATCAGCCTGTAAATAATGCACACAAGACCCTCGGAGAGGCAGGACTGATTAGCCAGAGATCCCGATTCATTTACTTGGCTGACAGGCCCAGGCCCCATAACTTAAGGAGGAAACTGTTGAAGTTGTATAGTCAACTCACGTGAAGAGGTTAGATCAATTTCACAGGAACTGTTGCCAAGCATGTTGATGGCAGTGCACTGGTAATAACCTTGTTCAAAATTTGTCAGATTGCCGATATCCAAAATCCCAGTGGCTGGGTCTGTCGAAATCAGGAAACGGACTTCTGAGATCTCTCGTGAGGGGCTAGATCACATCAGTGTGACAGAACACGTGGCACCCGCCCACTTCCCCACAGTGGTCTCCCCTCTGTTGAGGCATCCAGGGTCCAATCTGGCCCCTCAGGACTGTTCCCAAGGCAACCCACCTGGGACCATGCCTATATTCCCCTCCGTATTCACCACCTCTTGCTTCTAGAAGTTGGGGAGTAGACCATACCACACTCATCATGCTGGAAGTTGTTCTTTTTAAATCCCACCCCATCCCCCAGCCACCTAAGGGCAGATCTCCCTGGACAAGCAAGGAGCCACACACTCATGCTGTCAGCCACACCCCAATGCCAGGCCTTCTCGGGAGCCGCCAAAGGCTGTACTTACTGAAGCTCTCTTTCACTGGCACGATGTTTGTTCCCTCAAGTTTATACCAGTAGTACACAGGGGATGGTGTTCCAAGTGCAGAGAGACATGAAAGAGAGATAGCATGGCCAGCTTCTGGTCTTCCTTGGATGCTACAAAAGGGCTTAGAAGGTTTGACTGTAAAGCAATGACAAAGAGTGAAATTCTTGCAGGATGAATGCCAGTCTCTGACAATTGCAGACACTTCCTCATTTACATTTTGCATAATATATATTTTTAAAGAAATCTAAAAACCCATTGGACAGTTTTATGATTATACCACCAGGTGGCAGTAAAGCACTTCAAGTGCAGGGACCTCTAGCCAAGGCTATTAAGATTCAAATAGTGTCTTCTCTGTCTGCCTCCTCCCCAAGTCTACAACCACGAATTTTGGCATTGTATCTAAAAACATGCCTTTATTAAAACAGCCAAATGTGGGCCCGCCATTGTGGTGCAGCAGGTTAAGTTGCTGCTTGCGATACTGGCATTCCATATCACAGTCCTGGTTCCAGTCCTGGCTGTTCTGCTTACAATCCAACATTCCTGCTAATGCACCTGTGGAGGCAGTGGGTGGTAACCCAAGTGTTTGGGCCCCTGCCACCCACGTGGGAGATCTGGATGGAGTTCCAGGCTCCTGGCTCAGCCCTGGATATTACAGCAACTTGTGAAGTGAACCAGCAGATGGAAGACATTCTCTCTCTCTCTGCCCCCCCTTCAAATAAATAAATAAATAAATCTTTAAAACAGCCAAATGTAAGCAAACACTGTGAGAAGCCTGTCATGGCGTGGCTATCACAACACGAAAACGACTAGGAGCATAGTTTATACTTTAAAAAGCATAGTTTTAAAGGAAAATAGAACCCTTAAATACTTTGAGGTCACCTGTTCTTTTGCAAAATTGGTTTTTTATTGATGCTGTACTATTCTTTTCCTTTAGGAGGTTGTTTTTGTTTGTTTGTTTGTTTGTTTTTGTTTTTTTTTTTAAGCTTTTATTTAACTGCAGGTGGCGCAAAACAGATGGAAGGTTTAGATGTGCCCGCGACCCTCAACAGTAGGGGAAGCCCATTTCTCGGGGCGGGGGTTGGGGGTGGGGCTGGGGAAGGGGCGTAGCTATACAGCGCCGAGACCTTCATTCATCTTTCCCTCTGCGCGCATTTAGTGATGTGCCTTCTGTGTGCCTGACACTGCACCAGGCCCCAGGAGCCCAAACGCGCATTTAACACCGTTCTGAAGTGGGATGGGGGAGTGCTGAGAGACGACGTTAGAGAATGGTAGAGGCCACATCCTGGAGGGCTACTGAGAGCAGAGGGCCTGAGGAAAGAGCCAAAGCAGGGGAAGTGGTGATCACGGGCATCTTAGCATTTTCCGTGGATTAGCGCCAAGACAGGTGTGCCTGAGTCAAGGAAGGAGAGGAGACAAATTCGAGAGGTATTGAGACAGTAGAATCAAGCAGATGGCCACCACCTGCATATGGAGGGGGAAGCCGAGGGTGGGGCCCACGGGGAGGAGTCCGAACCGCCAGCCCCAGCGATAAACAACGCAGGAGGAGGAGCACGGGCTAGGGGCGAATGGGGAGGCGGGAGGGGCGGTGAGGAGGCTCTTTCAGAGGTGTCTTCCTTTGCACAGCTTATTGGACCCTTAGTTTTATAAACAGACAATGATCTCAACTTCTGTACTTTGAGACTCGCCTTCCTTATCTTATTTTGGATATGAAACTCCCCAGTGGCCTAGGTTTTTCTGACCTAGATGAGTTAACCCTTAACTGCTCTGACCGCTCAGCCCTCCAGCTCTTACTTGGGATGCAATAGTTAAGAGCACTGCTGTGGATCCACATAAAATCCTCGCTCTGCAACTTTACCCCTGCTGTGTTCAAACAGCTTACCAAACCTCAGTTGACTCATCTGGAAAATGTGAATAAGAGATTAACCTCTGGCTGATCCAAAGATTAAATGAAATAATTTATATAGGGCTTTGCATATGGAATTCTTATTGGCCATGGGCAGAACTAATTCCTTTCACTAAAGTTAATCTTCCAGGGCTGGCATTGTGGTGTAGCAAGTAAAGCTGCTACCTGTGTCCCTGGCATCCCATATGGGTGCTGGTTTGAGTCCCGTCTGCTCCACTTCCAATCCAGCTCCCTGATCAAGCACCTGGGAAAGCAGCGGAAGATGGCCCAAGTGCTTGGGCCCCTGCACCTGCGTGGGAGACCCAGATGAAGCTCCTGGCTCCTGGCTTTGGCCTGGCCCAGCCCCAGCCATTGCGGCCATTTGGGGAGTGAACCAGCTAATGGAAGCGCTCTCTCTCTCTCTCTCTTTCAAATAAATAAATCTTTTTAAAAAAGAGAAATTAATCTTTCACTGACATCCGCTCTACACAGCCATCTCAGATTCTAACTGTTGGTACACATGAGTGAGAAGACATAGCTGTAACTCTTGCAATCCTTCACCACCACCCCTTTAAGCAGGTGCCCCTGTTTGGGACAGGCATTTACCAGCATGGTGAAGATGCCACTTGGGATTCCCACATCCCTTATGCAAGCGCCTGCATTCAAGTTGGGCTCCTCTTCTGACTCCAGCTTCCTGCCAACACACATCCTGGGAGGTAGTAGGTGATGACTCAAGTACTTCGGCCCCTGCCACCCACGTGGGAGACCAAGATCAAGTTCTGGGCAAGATTGACTTTATGCATTTGGGGGGTAAACTACTGGAAAGGAGAGAGCTTTCTTTCTCACTTTTTCTGTCTGCATTTCAAATAATTGAATAATTTAAAAATATGTCTTAGTTAAAAGAAGTCTTCTTCTACTTACCTCTTTATTCTCTCTTCCTTACCAATGATTTTTTTCAGATGGGAGCGATGTGTTGCATTTGCCTATCCTAAACTAGGCGATCTAAGCAGAAGTCTATTGCAATTACCCCTAGATTTAGATACTGCTTTAAAAAAAAAGATGGTGATTTTACAACCTTCATAGCAGATTAGAACAACTGCAACAGAACATCCGATGGAAGTTTTTCATCACAAAGTCAGACACCAGGGCTTGAACTAAGTTATGGACAAAACCCTAGGATGACTTGCACTTCTTCCTTGAGCCCAGATTAAAACTCGAGTAGGCATCTTTTCCTTTTTTTTTTTTTTTGGCAAGCACCTTTTTCTCCTTTTATTATCAAAACACGCAGTGAATCACTTTGAGGCAAGTCCTACACATATATATTTTCTAGAATTACTGAATCGGGATCGAGCTGACACTTCATCTAGTTAAAGTCCTCGGTAGAACGGGGCGTTTTAATGGCAGAGCCATTGATCTACCCTTTAGCTTTATTGCTTTCAACAGGATTGAGCTGGGAGGAAAAGGCTCACCTCAGAAAATAAATGAAAACGCTCTGGTGTGTTCTCAAACCCCCTCTAAATGAATCACTTTCTTTTTATGTGCCAAATTGCAGAAGGTAGATGATACTCATTCCAAATGCACACAAAAGAATTATTCAAACTCTATCTGGCTATTTTTCAGAGATTCATTTCCCAGGGTTGTCATACCTAATGGAAATCTCTCAAATGAATGGCCGTGCAAACCGCCTGGTCCTTTTGCTCATGGCTGTTTCCTTCACCTGCATGGCGCTTGCTACCCCAGCCTCTAGTCCGCCCGACACCGCGCTGGCACGCCCTTCAAGATTCAGCACAAAGTCACTTTCCCCGAAAAGCCTTTTCCAGCTCTCTCGGCCTTTTCCCTGCACCCCCCCACCCCCCACCCTGCAGCTCGCCACAGAAAGCTCTCATGTCACATATCTGTCTGCTTGACCAAACCAAAAGCTCACAGGGTTTGCACCCTACATTTTACATCTTTTCCATCTCCGTGGCTTTAGCACAGTGCCTGGCACTTGTGTCCAGGGTTTGCCAAATGCATTTATGAACGGACAAGTGAATGCACGGGGCTAACGTCCATCGCTACGTGATGACGTGTCGCTGAAAGACAACGTTGTTAGCAGAAGACATCTTTAAGGAAATCGCGAACCCACTCCCCACAATTGCTCTCCCTTACTCATGTGGCCTCACCTTGCTTCTGCCCAAAATCAGGGCAAGCAGAATGGGTGAGCCTGGAGAATGCGATTTGCAAACCTACAAACAGCCTCGGCAGTTGTTAGAGAAAACTAGTAGTCTCAAAATTTCCAGAGAGCCTGTTTGTAGGATGTCTTTGCTCTTCATGCAAGGAATACAACTGGGGTTTTTGAGAGCTCCCAAACAAGAAAACTCACAGACTCTTCTGCTTCTTGCCTTGCCTGGATCCTGGTTTACAGAAAAGAACCAGGATGCCCTCATGGTGGGAGCTATTTGATGCCAAGCCTCAAGAGAAAGAACAACTTAAAATGGAAGTGGCTCTCAACTTTTTATGGCGATGGCTTTGGGATTCTCTGAGCTCTCAATTTCAGAAAATTGACCTTCTTGTCTAGCTTTATGTCAGGGCTATTGCCGTGCCCTGGGATGAAGAGGCTTAGCCTCTTTAGATTATTTCTGGTCAGAACACCCCAGAGACAGAAGGTAACAGAAAATCATTAGATGATTAATCTCTCACATTTGTTGAACATTTAAAAACCCTATAATCTCCGGTATCTCATTTGATCCTCATAACAAATCTATAAAGAAGACAAGGCAGGAGCTACAAACCCAACTCACAATGGCCAGAGAACAGTGGCCTACTTGCGTGAGGACACTGAGTACAGAGTAAGCCTGGAACCTAGGCCTTCTCACTCCCAGCTTGATGCTTTGGCATTTATACCACGTCATTTAGTTCCCGGGTATATGACTTGTTTTCCAGACTGGAGCGTGACCCTCTCAGGAAAGTGTGCAAGTACTACTTCTCTTGTCTGTCCTTGTACCGCAATGCCTAGCACAGGGCTCAGCAAAATAAAAACATGATGGATTGTGCTAGCCCCTTCTTAGAAATGAACACTTGGGTAACTCTCCCTCTTTCTAATTTTCTATCCAAATTGTTGTATTCTAGAAAGATTATAAAATCTCTATCATTTAAAAAAGGCAGTATCAAAATCTCATCATAGTTGCAATAGATTTCTGGTCAAATAGCCTAGTTTAAGATAGGCAAATGCAACACATTGTTCCTGTCTGAGCAAACATTTGGTAAGGAAAAGAGAATACAGAGCCAGATAGTGGAGAAGTGCATAGGAATATCAGCTGGCACCACCTAGGCAGCACAAGGCAGCTCTGGACAGTTCTTATGGGTATGCACCTTGCCTCAGATTGCTGATTTTCTAATAGACTCAATTAGTAAGTCACTGGTTTTATCTAGTCCTCCTTTTTACTTATTTATTTACTTGAAAGAGAAGAGGAAGAGGAGGAGGAGGAGGAGGAGGAGGAGGGGAGAGAGAGAGAGAGAGAAAGTCTTCCATCTTTCACTCACTGGTTTTCTCCCCAAATGGCCATAACAGGCAGGGCTGGGCCAGGCCGAAGCCAGGAGCCAGTAGCTTCTTCCAGGTCTCCTATGCAGGTGCAGGGGCAAACACTTGGGCCATCCTCTACTGCTTTCTCAGATGCATCAGTAGGAAGATGGATCAGAAGTGGAGCAGCCAGGATTCGAACCGGCGCCCATATGGGATGCCAGCCTTGCAGGCGGCAGCTTTACCTGCTTGCTATGCCATAACACTGGCCCCTCTTGTCCTCTTTTCCTGTTATGTATGTACCAGGAGTCTTCAAATAGTTCGTGTAATATATATTTAAAAAAACTATGCATGATTTAAAATTGTTTATGCCAAAATAAACTTATCTTTTAATTCCATTTTCCTATGAACTTTTTGAAGTACACTCATTCACAACTTGAGAGGAATCAGGGAGGAGATCAGCTCCATTGAGTTTACCCAGATGTGGGAAAACACTTAGCACAACTGATTACTCGATAAAGGTTGAGAGTCCTTTCATTCCTCTCTTTAGAACTTCCCACCCTCAGGGCCTGCAGAGAGGAAATTAGCACACATTGTCCTCTCAAAGGTTGAAAGGAACCTTACAAATTGTCAAAATTGAGAGCTTCCCTGGGGGCAGCAACTATGAGCTTACATCACTAAAGCGTTATCACTCAATAAATACTGAATAAGTGAACCATTCCAAATTCATCCTAAGAGCAAATATGATTTTCCCAGTGTGGTACCGTGAATATTTGTGTATGCTCAACTTACTGTACTTCTTTTTCCAAAGATCACTATCATTTTAGAGAGAACCTGCTGCTTTCATTCTAAAGGATGATGTAATAGCCGGGAGGGCATGCTTAGGAGAGGCGATAAGCTGGCAGGTGTCTCCCTAAATAGGTCTGGCTCTAACTGGAAGTTCCCTCTGAAAGAGCTGCGGCTGCTGGTTTAGTGGGTCTGTGGAGTGTCCTATCTACTTGCGTTGCATCCCTCAGAGACGGGGATCTGGTCCTCCACTGCTGACTTTTGGTGGCCCTTTGTGGCTTTGACAACTGTCCCTACATGTTTTATGAATGCTCTAGGGGGGGTGGGCTGGTGGTGTGGAAGGAGCAAGGAGGATGTTACCCCTTGAGACGCTATTGACATCATGACCCGGTCCCTGGCTCATTCAGTGCCCTAAGTTGCTCCAAGAAGAGAAAAGGCAGGAACAAGTGTCCATACCTAGCACACTGACGTTGACAATGCCTTGATTTCTGCCGGCGAAGTCTGGGGGGTTGTTAACATCGCAGATGTAAATTCCACTGTCTGCTGGCTGCATGTTCAGGATGGTGATAGAGGCATTACTTGGGTTGTTGGTCCCTATAATTCGGTCTTTAAATCGCCCGATGGCTGCAGCTTGTCCGCCTTCAGAATAGTAAATCTAGGACAGAAAAATAACCGAAATGAGGACTGGAGGGTGTCTGGGACTAGGATACGCTGCCTGGAAGCTCCTTCTGTTTGTTATCTTTCGTAAGCAGCAGTATCTTTCTCCCAAGAGAAATAGGTGTCTCCCCCGGGCCCCCCCCCCCCCCCCCGACCCCGTGGCCAAGGCTTCTCAGCTCCGTGGGGTGCTTAATTTTTCTCCCAGCTGCTAACAGCAGAGCAGCTCCATGATGTCATCAAGGCACTGATAAGCCTATCTTACAGCGGAAAAGACAGCTGGAGCTGACAGAATTCAACTTCTAAGCTCAGGCTGGGAAACCAAGAAACTCACTTGATAAGTCTGCCTGGAGGAAGCTCTACGTAAGACACAGCTGTCTGCTGAGAAACCGAAACTGTCCATTTTTAAACCACTGTATCCACACTTTCACATTTGAACCTACCTTTCCCAATGGGACGTATCTGGTTGCCCTAAAAAGTCAAATGTTCCTACTCCTCTTATGCTCCCATACCCCTCTGGATAAGCAACCTTGAGTTTGTTCTGCTGGCTAGAAGCGTAAACTTTCAGAGCACAAAGGCCCTGATCAATCACCTGCTATCATCGTGTCCTAGTGATGTTGTGAGCTAGGAAAGGGGCAAAGAATTGCTTAGTCAGTGGTAGCGAACCCAGAGAGATTAAAGGACTCATTGGCAGCTGCCAGGATTCGCTTGTTATTCATATAACTTACTAGGTTGAGAAGACCTGGAGTACAGTCCCGTCTCCATTCAGGAACGTGACCCTCATTAATGACAAGCACGAGGAGAGTACCATCTGGTGAAAACAGGCCTGGCCTAAGAGCCAGAGAGCCTGGGTTTCAGCCACAGCTCAGCCTCTGTGACATAGTCAGCCGAGGTGGCCTCTAGCTTTGCCTCCAAGGCAACCTGCTTTGTGATAAGAAGCGTAGTTATTTAATCTCTCCAACCTTTAGTTTCCACATCTGAGCAATGTTTCCTCAAGTATGATATGTATTCCCAAAGTATAGTTACTGAAGTTGATTTTAGGTGATACAGAAATGAACACGCAGATATTTTAAAGAGTATTAGAAAAAGACGTACCTAGCGCATCAGAGCTGGGGCTTCCTGGATATTGCTGCCTAGGGTGAGACTAAGGCAGATTTTTTTTTTAATATTTGAAGAAAGCAAGTCAATACAGGAAACAACACTATATGATTCACAGTGTTAATAATACAGAATATGACAAAAATCGTGAAGATGGCCCCTGAATGGCTGAAGCTTGGGAATGATTGTGTTAGGTAATCACGCGGTCTCTCCATAATACACACTGGGCACACCCTCTGCTAGTTTCCTGTGAATGTGCATAATTTGAGTGATGGTTACTTGTCAATAGGTTGGTATTGCCCTAGTCCACTAATATTAATCATTAATATTTTCATCAAATCTACTAGAAAGATCTCACAAATCATTTAATGTACTCCTCTGATTTTACAACAAATAAACAAACAAAAAAGCTAAAGCACAGACAGGTACAAAGGAGGAGGAGACGACACACAAAAGCAGCAGTTGCGGCCGCAACCTCATTCTAATTCCCTGTCCAGTGCTGTCTCTTCCACTAAGCCAAATAAAGAGGGAAGGCATTCAGGAAACCAAAAATATTATCTACTGAATTCAAATGTATCTGCATCTAAGCAAAAATTCAATACATTTTTAAACTCAAGTATAAAGGTAGATTTTGAGAGAAAGTTGTTAAAAAAACATGTTTGGGAGAGGAACTTGTTTCTCTCATCTCTTGTTTTTCTAACATAAATATGTTTTCTTGGGAATGTCATTGTGGCATAGCAGGTAAAGCTGCCGCCTGTGATGCTGGCATTCCATATTGGCACAGGTTTGAGTCCCAGTGCTCCACTTTAATCCAGCTCCCTGCTAATGTGCCTGGGAAAGCAGCAGAAGATGGCCCAAGTGCTTGGGCCCCTGCTACCCACGTAGGAGACTCAGATGAACCTCCTAGATCCTGACTTTGGTCTGACCCAGCACTGGCTGCTGCAGCCATCTGGGGAGTGAGCCAGCAGATGGAAGATCTATCTCTCTCTCTCTCTCTCTCTCTCTCTCTCTCTCTCTCCCCCTTTCTCTCTGTCACTCTTTCAAAATACATAAATCTTAAGTTCTCTTTCCTGTTCTAAACGCAATCATTTATAACCCATTCATACCCATTTAAAACACAAATTTTTGTCTCCAAATGGTCTTCTTTTGGCTTTTAAACCAGAACACCATTTTATAAGTGGGACAGGAGGAGGTTCACCTCACCAAAGGTTTATCACCTTCATTTGACTTCGTATCCATGCTGTCCTGCTTATTTTCACTATCCAGCACATAGCTTGTTGAATTTTGAATTGACAATTGGATGTCCTGTTGGTCGCTGGGCATCAAGAAAGCCCCCCTTTTTTTTTGACTGGCAGAGCTAGACATTGAGAGAGAGAGAGAGAGAGAGAGAGAGAGAAAGGTCTTCCTTTCCATTGGTTCATCCCCCAATGGCCAGATCCGAAGCCAGGAGCCAGGTGCTTCCTCCTAGTCTCCCATGCGGGTGCAGGGCCCAAGCACTTGGGCCATCCTCCACTGCACTCCCGGGCCACAGCAGAGAGCTGGCCTGGAAGAGGAGCAACCGGGACAGAATCCGGTGCCCCAACCGGGACTAGAACCTGGGGTGCCAGTGCCGCAGGCAGAGGATTAGCCAAGTGAGCTGCGGCGCTGGCCAAGAAAGCCGTTTACAGACTGATCATCTGCCCAAGAAGACTGGGGATGAGTCAGCCCAGTTTTATCCTGGTGCCTGATCAACCTCCAGTGAGAGACAACACGAGGCCCACAGATAGTCCCAGAGGATCCAAGAGGAAAGCCCTTGGTGCTGCAGAGATTGGGGGCCAAGAAAGGAGGCTTTAGGCCAGGACTTGGATGTGAGAAATAAAACCCCATTAAAGTCCTGTAAAAGGGCCAGTGCTGTGGTGTAGCGTGTTAACGCCCTGGCCTGAAGCGCAGCAACCCATATGGACGCCAGTTCGAGTCCCGGCTGTGGGGAGCAACTGGGAGCAACTCGGACTAGACTAAGTTACTGGAATTAAGACTTATTCTATGCATCTGCTTTCCCACAATATGGCGCTGAGAAGGGAGTAACAACTTCTACGCAGCTGCCTCTCGCCAATTTGATTGACTGAGCTGCAGGAGCTGATCTTGCTCCTGATTGGAGGAGAGCAGCGTACTCGGCGTGTGGGTAGCAGAGTTGGGATTGGTGGAAGAGGCCTATAAAGGAGGAGAGAGACAACATGCACCAGGAACATCTAAGAGGAACATCTATCTGAAGGAACATCTGAGCAGCCCCCGAGAGAGCCGGCCGGCGGTGTGCCGCTCCCCTGCGGAAGTGGGGAAGGTGGCAGGGGGAACCGCCCTTCCACGGAGGTGGAAGGGACAGTAGCCAACCCGGGAAGAACCAGCAGCAAACCCGGGGAGGGCCGAGCAGACAAAAGAACAGCGCAGGGTCCTGTGTCGTTCCTCCGCGAAGAGGGGGAGCGACATAATGGGGCCGTGACTCGGATATGAAGCCTAGGCAGGGTTTAGTGTCGTTCCTCCATGAAGAGGGGGAGCGACACCGGCTGCTCCACTTCCTATCCCGCTCTCTGTTATGGCCTGGGAAAGCAGTAGAAGATGGCCCAGGCCCTTGGGCTCCTGCATCCACATAGAAGACCCGGAAAAAGTTCCTGGGGTTGTGGCCAATTGAGGAGTGAACCAGCAAATGGAGGACCTCTCTCTCTCTCTCTCTCTGCCTCTCCTCTCTGTATAACTCTGACTTTCAAATAAAATAAATAAATCTTTAAAAAAAAGTTCCGTACGTGGGCAGGAAATCAAGGTGAAATGAGTAAATAAGCACGAAGACACAGGACCTGTAACTTACCTGGGACTGAATAAAGGCGGCTCTCAGGAATGAGGATAGGAACGGGGTCGGGGGAGGTAAGGCGGACTAACAAGGGAGATGGAAAAGGGAAAGACTTTGGCTTCAGGGTGCTAGGTGGGAAGCAAAGTCCCCAGGGTGAGACAGTGGCCAGACACATAGATGGAGGGGCTTTTTGTTAGGGGAAGTCCACATTGTCACACTATCCTTGCAAAGGAAAAAAGAAAGAAAGGTTTTTCCTGGTCTTGCTTATCTAATCACACAGGAAGGACTACAACTTGGTTCCATTTTCCACAAAAGAATAACTCTTTGAAAACTCACAGCTGAATAATGGCCAGAGCCTGGCCCGTGATCCTGTATAGTTTGCACACTTTTCAAAGAAAGAATATTGCCGGTACAGAGATCAAAGCCATCGAGGTCCAGGAGAGCCATGGATGTTCAACTAGCCACATACTCGGCAGGAATGGGGTGGGGTGAGTCCTACTTGAAGAAAATCCAGGGGCTGGCGCTGTGGCGTACTGGGTAAAGCTGCTGCCTGCATGCCGGCATCCCATATGGGCACGGGTTCAAGTCCCAGCTGCTCCACTTCCGATCCAGCTCTCTGCTATGGCCTAGGAAAGCAGTAGAAGATGGCCCAAGTCCTTGGGCCCTTGCACCCGCGTGGGAGACCGGAGGAAGCTCCTGGCTCCTGGCTTCAGATCAGCACAGATCCAGCTGTTGCGGCCAACTGGGGAGTGAACCAGTGGATGGAAGACCTCTCTCTCTCTCTCACTCTCTCTCTCTTTCTGCCTCTCCTTCTCTCTCTGTGTAACTCTGACTTTCAAATAAATAAATAAATCTTTAAAAAAAATCCATCTACATGTTCCTTTTCCTAAGTGGTGCTTGTTTATTGTTTTCCCACTTGCCCTTTGTATCTGTGTCCATGGCAGACTGCCCTCCCTTCTTCCAAGGTACTCTGTGCCTCCCCCACTTGGCGATGCCGGACGCCGAGGTGTGCAGTCACAGCAGGATGTTAGTTATCAGATCCTCTTCCAGATTGCCTCGTTCATGGTTTCTAAGGCTAAGGA